AGGATCATACAAAAACAAAAGTGACACACAAACGAAACAAATAAAATAAGAAGTAAACGAATAAAAACCGAACAAGATACTAATAAACCACGACTTGTAATGAAAATATCGTTGCAGAATACAATGATTATTCCAAGTTCATTATTTGTATTAAAATTACGATGTAGACTGGGGCGGTTAGGGAAAAATCGTCATTGTTTGTTGTTTGCACGCAACCCGGCACAAGATCGTCTGCTGCGGCCGATGCAGTGTCGAGTGAAAACAGAAACCGTACCGAGTGCAAATTCTACCGCATATTGTGTGCTCCTACATCTGTACAAACATGTTTCGACTGTAACTCGAACATTGAACTATTTTCTTAGCTAAATATACATTTTAAAACTTGAACCGTTATAATCTGTTTAGGAATAATATCTTAGGGGTGGCCACGCCGTGTGTAAGTAAGAAGACCGTACAGGTACGAAGTACACTCGGACTTAGAGACAATCAGTTCAGTTCATGGGTGAGGTACGAAATGTCAAATGTCAGTCTCTGTGAATTCGATTGTGTTAGTTGACGCAAATTAAGGTAATTTACTGCGCCTAGTTTATTCCTATGTTATGTGTGTTTCGGGTGAACAAATAGTTGTGGCGTCTTTTGTTCGTGGCGTTCAGATGACAACACTGGTTTGATTGTGAGGCGGTTATTTTAGATTTATTTAATGCATGATTAGCAACTTTTAGTTCTGCGCTCTTCTAAATACAACCAGTTATTCTTAGGTTAGGTGAGACAATTCAGTGTCTTTAACAGGAAAATTTTGTTAGTGAAGTTAGTGACCAGGACTCCGTAAACGAAAACATAGCTAAATTTCAAAGTTAATTATAATTTATTATACATTCTTAGGCACACAGATATATTACAATTTATAACATGAATGATTCTAGTAGTTTCTGGTTGTAGTCATTTGATCTATTCGACCTCTAAAAGCACGTTTTTTGTGTTGCTTTTACAAAATACTCACTTATAATTCCTTTTACAACATGCTTGTTGAATAACGGTCCCAAATTATCGAAACCGAAAATATACCCTAACAAGGCCTCAGTCACATGTAAATTGCGGACCTCTTTCTGGTGACTACACAGCATACCACGGAAAAGCTTCCGCTGCGCGGATTGGGGCTAATCTAGATGGCTAGGACTCACGAACAGCAGCTACCGCATCTCCTGCAGCTTCCTCCATTTTATTTGCTACTGAGTCCCAGCCATCTAGTTTAGCCCCAATCCGCGCCGTGTGTAGCGGTGCGGGAGATACTCTCGGCGGTGGCGGTATAGTCGCTGGAAAGAGGTCCGCAATTTACATATGACTGAGGCTCTGTTAGGGTATATTTTCGACCTCAATAATTTGGGACTGTTATTCGGAGGATAGCGTATAATTAATAAATTTGGCTATCCTGCGAATAACGGTTCCAAATTATCGAGGCCGAAAATATACCCTAACAGGGCCTCAGTCACACGTGTTAATTGCGGTTTCTGATGGTGACTTAAATTGCGCACTTCTGGCGACCTCCGCCACCGCCGAGAGTATCCCCCAAGCCGTGTGAGCAGCGTGGATTGGGGCTAAACTAGATGGCTGGGGCTCACAAGCAGCAGCTACCGCATCTCCTGCAGCTTCCTTCATTTTATTTGCTCGTCAGTCCCAGCCATCTAGTTTAGCCCCAATCAATGCGGCATGGGGGATACTCTCGACGGTGGCGGTATAGTCCCCGGAAGTCCGCAATTGACACGTGACTGAGGCTATCCTCCGAATAACAGTCCCAAATCTGGCTTATTTTTATGCAGACTGTTGGTTCTTTGCCTCTCAAATGCACTCCGATTTCAACAGGAAAGCCCTAATAAGTCACCTTTTACAACATGATAGTTAGGGAAGCAGTGTTTTGTGCCGCCCCCCCCCCCCCCCCCCCCCCCCCGCTTCCTCAGAACGGGCCTTGGTACTCGCACAGGGACGGGTATAGTCAAAGTACAATGGATGTAGATAATATCTGCGACAATGAACTTCGAGGTCTCTGAATGCAAGAGGAGAAGAATAACACAGCTTTACTGTAAAGTATTGTAAAGCACCCCTTGTCCACACCTTCAGGTGTATAGGGCATAAACGGCTAGACATATATTTTATAAACCATTTGGCACTCGGTTGGTGATGTGATCAATATTTTTTTTTTTTTTTTTAACGTATCCAGAAATGGCTTGGTACTATGGATATCGCAACCCTTCGGCATTGATTCCATTATAGGTACCGTTAATCTGGGAGAAATGTGGCTTTTCTGCCTACCCCCGGGAGTGAACCCGGACCACAAGGAGTTCGTCACCCGGCCGCCACAAAAGTCAGGTTTAACCAGCTTCGCTCCTGGTACCCATATAAGGCTAGGTCAACCTGGGAGCCAAGGTCATTTTAAAAAAAATGTCATCCTCCGTCAGGAGCCAAGCTCACGACCTTCGAATTAGCAGGAGAGCATCTAGCCACTGAATGACAGCACAGCTTTACTATTAATTTTTCTATAATTGCTTTGCACCCTACACTAGAAGAGACTTGTTAGATAAATGAAGACAGTTATTGCTGCTCTTTTTGATAAACATGCATCTTCAAACTTCAGATTGAAATGTTACATTGAGCCTGTTCTGTTTTATGGTAGTGAATCTTCGAATGTGAGCAAACAAATTAAGAAGAGTTTGAAAGCAACTGAGATGTGGTTCTTGAGAAGAATGTTGAGAATACCTTGGACTGCCAGAATAACCAACATTAGATGCCTGGAAATGGCAAATGAAAGTCGAACATTATATGCAGCAGTGAGAAGGAGACAAAGCAAAGTTCTTTGGTCATGTGATGAGAAAAGGAGCACTGGAAAATATTGTGACTGGAAAGATCACTGGTAGAAAAGGCAGTCCAAGAGAATGATGGTGGGTGGCTTAAAACAAGGGCATGGAGGAATATCATCAGTAGAATTGATCCATAACACCAAAGACCAAGATCTGTGGTGACGCATGAATGCCTATGCCAGCTGGCAAGGCACTTGATGATGATGATGATGATCTTCAAACTGAAAAAAAAATGCCTGTAGATATATTTGGCAAAGTGTGTGTACTTACCAGACCTTTCTCTCAGTCAGGTCATTTTGTATCATAAGTGAATCTTAAGTAGGTTTGCTGTTATGATTGTGAATAATTAGTGATTGCAGAGCTTAATCTTGGGACAGACTTGAACCAGGTCAAGTAGATAATGGGTGCCTTGACCAGCTGGCCGTTAACTGCAGGAAGACATGTGTCATTTTAGTACTCATAAGTCATTTAGTGGTGGGGCATTTAACTATCTTGAAGTTCAGGTAGCAAGGCCTAGCTGGTGTGGTTGTTATAGTTAAGGATTGTCTTAAGATTAGGATAGTGTTTGGGATTAAGGTAGTGTTTGGTTTTGTGCTTAAGCTGCAAGGTTTGGATAAGAGTAAATTCTGTGCCTGTGCTTGGGGTTAATGTATAGAAGAGTAACGATATAGCATTAAAGTATAAAATTATTTTGTGGATTAGGGTTATAGTATAGTATTTAGTTTAAAAATTTTTTTAAATAATGTTGTGGGTCAGTAGGATTAAGGTTAGAGTTGTGTAGGTTCCAGGGCCCCATTGTTGGGGTGGGAGGGTGAGAATAGGCCCACTACCCCCTAACACGCATGCATTTAAGATTGGACTAATTAGTTACCTTTAAAGTCAGAGTGCATCTGCCTGAGAGGTGAGAAAGCACATAGTCTGCAAACATTTAATAAGCCAGATCTGTGAAACGCCAAACTCCGGTTCTGGGAAAAAAGACTAAAGTCCAGAAGTGGATGAACAACTTTCTACCAGAGTTTACAGCTGGTGATTGTGGAGAAGAAGCAGAAGAGGGTTAGAGTTAAGTATTAGGTGTTTAAAGTAGGATAGATAGTGATGTTGTTGGTCAGTAGCATTAGGGTTAGCATATAGTACACCTTCACCTCGACAGTTATGACCACAGCAAATAAGTAAATAAAAGTAAGAAATACAAATTGGGAAAAAAAATAAATAAAAAAAAAAGGCTGTTCGCGAAGGGTTTCCTTAACTAATGCAATAGAGTACATTTTGTGTGTTTAAAAAATTATGTACAATATTTATACCTTTATAGATTGCCTTTATAGATGTAATTTTTATAACCCGTTTGAAAATAGTGTTAAGGCATATTAATTAAACTTACGACCAGTTCAACTTGTGATCTGTTAGTCGGAACAAAACTGGGTCGTAAGTTGAGGATGCTCTTATTATTTAGCTTTAAAATTAGGATACATTTTATGTTGTGGGTCTGTAGGATTATGGTAGTTGTCAGGTTTTGGGGGGGGGGGGGGGGGGGGGTCACAGTGTCATAATTCTTATATACTGGGTTTGTTTCTGCAGGAAACCTAATGTGTTATTTTCAACATAGGTAAATGGTCAAACCGTTCAGAAAGCAAAATATGTCATGTGTACGCTATGCAGCAGTATGCCACTAATGTAAAAAGACAAAGTTGAGAATTGTGTGCCTAGTTTAATTTACAAGGTTAGTGGTGATAAACATAGGAGAGTATAAATGATTAGGATTCATTTTAATATCAAGTGTTATAAACAAAATTATGCTCTTCATTAAGTTTGTGTGTGTGTACATATATATATATATATATATATATATATATATATATATATATATATATATGTATATATATATATATATATATATATATATATATATATATGGCTTAGATTTATTATTTTATAATATTTTTATTTCAGCAGGAAAAATAATCAGTATTTGTAGAAAAACATCAAGATTTTAGGAAGCCAAGTTCATTTTTTTGTAGAGTATTTCCAGAAAAAGAGGACTTAAATACTCAATTGTGCAAGAACTCACCACTGGGTTTTATTGTAACGTGTTGAAGAGAGCATTCGTTTGACAAGATCTGGTTAAGGGCCTGGAGCAGAAAATACAGAAACATGGGTCGATATACGGGGAAAACATGTCGTCTGAGTACAATGCTTGCACTGACAGCCTCCTTCTTCCTTGTTGAGATCGTCGTTGGTTATGTGACCAATTCAGTTGCCTTGGTTGCTGATTCATTTCACATGTTGTCTGATGTGGTGGCACTGATCGTTGGTTTCTGTTCAGTTCGGGTGAGTGAACATGTTTTGGTTTTAACACTCTTGTTACTTATTTTTTTTAAATCGAATGAACGTAACAGGCTTGATATATGTATATGAAAATATAATTGATGTGTGAATACGAGTATCTGAAATGGCCAAATATAAGACAGGCTTGCATGCCCAATGTGTGACCCTTGAAAAATAAGGGTTCATTTGCTTGTTTAAAAAGTAAAGCTAGTTCAAATAGATACAGTGACAAGTTTACTTGCTAGCTTAACAGACTTCATTGCTGTTAAAGGTAATTAATTAGAAGTTTTGCCAAAATCTGCTGTATTAGGCTGTAAAGCACAATAGTATATCGTACGCCCTTGTAAGGGTAAATGCAGGGCATGCTTTGGACACATATTTCAGAAAATAGAAATGCATTGTATGTGTAGATTGCACACTTGATAAGACTCGGACCAGGAGCATATCATGGGTGTTATGTCGTAGGATATTCTGGTGTGCAGGGTAATCAGTAAGCTGATAGATTGGCTGATGTCGGTGTCACTCTGGGTTGTTTTACTGAGTCACTTTACTTCTTTCTTTTACTGCACTCTGTTCAAAGTGCTCAGAATTGATTCACTCTTGCACACAGACGAAAACAGCTAACGGATGTCACGATCAGGATTCCCTGTACAGTTTAATAAAGTTTAATCGCATTGACATAACATAACCCTTGACCCGTTGGGGTCGTGGAGGTGTATCGATAAAAGCCCTAACACATAAAAGCCACCTTCTTTCTCCTGTCTTCCGCTTGACGAATAAGTGTATGATAACTTAGTCCTGTCCATTTCTTGATGTTGTCATTCCAAGTTCTTCTTTGCCTTCCTCCTCTCCAACTACGCCCCAATTTTCCTTGAAGTACAGTCTTTGCAATCAATCTGTCTCACCATGTGCCTGAACCAAGCTAGCTTATGATGTTTCACTGCTGCCAAGAGAGGCTTCTGATATCCTGCAAAATTGTATGTTTGTCTCTGACCTATTAATCACATTGATTGGTCAAGGAATATCTGTTCTAGGTCTCTCATCTGTCATTTAGAATTCTATGCACCACAGATAGTCATTCAATCAGTTGTGCTTACAAAGGACCCAACACATGCCGATGTTGCATCTTTCACACGGTAGAACTCATGTAGGCTGGCTGGCCACACTGTCAGCATTCAAACTGGCATCACACACATTGTCACTGTAGGACTAGTCAAAACACGTGGAACCTTGTACATTGGACATGATAACATCAGACACATTGTCATTGTGGGACTGGTCAAAACACATGGAACCTTGTACACTGGACATGATAACATTAGACACATTGTCACTGTGGGACTGGTCAAAACACTTGGAACCTTGTACACTGGACATGATAACATCAGACACATTGTCATTGTGGGACTATTCAAAACACATGGAACCTTGTACACTGGACATGATAACATCAGACACATTGTCATTGTGGGACTGGTCAAAACACATGGAACCTTGTACACTGGACATGATAACATCAGACACATTGTCACTGTGGGACTAGTCAAAACACATGGAACCTTGTACATTGGACATGATAACATTAGACACATTGTCATTGTGGGACTGGTCAAAACACATGGAACCTTGTACACTGGACATGATAACATCAGACACATTGTCACTGTGGGACTAGTCAAAACACATGGAACCTTGTACACTGGACATGATAACATTAGACACATTGTCACTGTGGGACTAGTCAGAACACAAGGAACCTTGTACACTGGACATTATAACATCTTCTTCTTCTTCACTTCCTCTTTTACCGCTGTGGGTGTCGAGGGAGATATAAGGTTCTGATTCTAGCTCTACTGGCCGCCTCGACCATAGGCACATCGTGCTGTTGTAGAGTTTCTCTGATGTTATCCTTCCATCTTGTTGTTGGTCTACCCCGTGCTCTACGTCCTTCTTCTCTTTCCATGTATGCTTTTTATGGTATGGTGTCACAAGGCTTTCTCTCTAAGTGGGCAAACCATTTCATTTGCTGTCTTCGTATGTGCCGACTTTTTCTCTTATGATCTCATTCCTGATCTTATCTCCTATGGTCACTCCTACAGCCCTTCTCAGACATCTCATTTCCGTGGTTACTAATTTTCTTTTATGGTTTGTTGTGAGTGACCATGTCTGGCACTGGTAGCACAGAGTTGGAATAAATATGCTTTGAATAACATCACACAAGTCTATTTAACCAAAAGCCCTCTTTATTCTTTTTCACCAGCTTTATACAACACATTCTCTCCATACAACAGTTCACTCTTACATGAATTTCTCGTGTCCTTTTCATCTCTATCTCTCTTGTGTCCTTTCCTTTTCCTCTCTCTCGTTTCATTTTCATTTCTCTCCTGTCCTTTCCATCTCCCTTGTATCCTTTTCATCTCTCTCATGTCCTTTTCGTCTCTCTTGTTTCATGGCCTCTTTCCAATGTTGTTCTATTTTTATCCTAAAGTTTCCTTTTCTCAACTCAGGGAATAAAATGGGTTACCCACCTCATAAATGATACAAACTTTGGACCATTACTGTGGTGAGCTACTTTATGATAAAGAGGACATGGGGAAGGCTTTCTGGGATCAGGTGAACATTGCAACAGAACAGACAAGAATATCCGTTTATCAGGCAAGAATGGATTGCAACACTAAGCACTTCACAAATATCTGCCCTAACCTCCATATTTGTGCCCGGTCATGCAGGTGTTCAAGGGAACTAGCGTGCAGACTATCTTGCTGACACTGTGGTTGCTATGGCTGGTCCAGTACTGGACAGAAGTGATGTTATCAATGCCATGCGCTGCACTTACCATACTGAGGAGCACGCCAAAGGACATGACCCCGTATCCATGTCTAGATTGATGGACATGGGGGTGCAGCCTGGAGCTGCAAGAAATAAACATTTCACTAAAGGGACAAGATGTTTCATTAACCAACACAGATCAGGCGTCATCAGTCATTTTACGCTTGTGGAGCTTTTGAGGAGGAGATCGGAGCACCTATGGATCTGTCCGGACTGCTGTGATGATAATCCTTTCTAATCACTAATAACTAGACAAGAATATCCATACCTTGAAAGACTAATTCAGCTGGGGGCGAGCAGAGGTTCTGAAAGATATTCAACACAGAGGGGAAACATAGGTTCATTTTTAATCATGACGCAACTGGTACTATTAGCATATTGACTGTTCATTGGCTACTGAAGAGGGAGACGGATGCCATGTTTGAATGTCACTAGTACAGGGATGTCAGTTCTGGATTCATTCAGCATGAAGAAGAAGAATCTTTATTATTTTCTTCTTCTTAGCCTTCACTGGCTGTAAACTCTGGGGCGGAAAGTTCTGGTTGTTCATCCACTTCTGGACTTGAGTCTTGCTCCAGAACTTGAATTTTGCGTGCACATCCGTTTACTGATCTTGCTTGCTTGTAATATGCAGACTGTTGGTTCTTAGCCTCCAAGGCAGATAAAAAATCCTAATTAGTTGCCTTTTATGACATGCTTACTAGTAAGCAGTGGGTCTGTCCTTTTCCAAACCCAAAATGGGGCCCCAGACCCACACATGGATGTGTTTATTAAAACGAGGATTTGAGACATTTGGACCAAACTTAAAATGGATGCTAGGAATTGTTCTGGGAAGCAAAAGTATTGATCATATCACCCATCAAGTACTGGCTGATCTGTTCAAATATGGGACCAGCTCCATCCAGCGGTCTTCATAGTGTCATGTATTATGCTATGTTATCACAATCAGCGTCGCTGCATATTGGGCATTCCCAGGTGTGCTCAGTCCTCCGATGCAGCAGCCACTCCAAGGTACCTCTAGTGGTTGTTCCCCTTAGGAGCTGGTAATAATGTCTCTTATCTCTATCTCAAAGGCAACATAGATATGGTTCACCATGCTTTACTCCCATGTCTAGTTATTGTGTAGGTGTCAGATTTGTCATTGTCTACTAATCTACTCCGTACAGCGTTGATGATGTCTGCTCTGTCTATGGTAGAAGTCTGTGATATGGCATGCTTTATTGGTGAGCTTGGAAATGGAAAGGAGAGAGAGTTGTGTAACACATTGTTCTTTCCCCCTGTGGGTTCTGGCGTCCCATTGTGGGGAAAACAAAAATAGATCCACTGCTCCCCCAACAAGCCTGTCATAGGAGTCGACTAACTGGGAGCTTCCTTTTAAGTCAGAGCGCATCTGCCCAAGCGATATGGAACAACGGACCGCACAAAATGAGTCAGTAAAATGGATGTACACGCAAAACTCAGGCCCTGGCACAATGCCAGAGTCCAAATGGCCGAACAACAATGACTTTCCACTGGAGCTTACAGCCATTAAACAAAGAAAAAAAAATGTTCTTCAACCTGTATTGCTGGTCAGCAGAAATTTCATAATGGCCACCCAGTCCTGAAGCGCCTATATGATCCAGTTGCTACATTGCTATGGAGCGAGCCACACGCTTCACATGTTAATGTAGTAGGCAGAATGCCTGGCCGCTGAATGCCAGTATTGCATCTGCTTTTCTGACGACACAGCAAAAAAGCATATTTTTTTTCAATCTCATCCGTCAGTCAGTCAGTCTGCAAAATATTTCAAATGTGTTTCCGGGTCTCTGATGAGCGGCTAGTTAAAGAATAAAAATACTAGGCTCTCAAGTGGGGGACAGGGTTACAATCCTTGGTAAGGTTGGGGAATTGTTTTTGTTGGGGGCAAAAAATAAAATTCTAAGCTGTAAAGTCTGTGGCAGCAGCACTAGCTTTGCGGCTCTAAATCCTTAACTCCCCCCTCCCCCGCATACACTGCAAAAGTGGTAAATACATGCGGTAATGGGTTTTTTAAATGGCAGGTGTAGAAAGGTACTGAAAATATGACAGCACATCTTTCGATGCTACATTTTCGTCTAGTCGCTGGTAGTTCACTGAAGTCATGTGACTTGTGGTATCTTAAAATTTACTATTAGCTGAAATGCGAATGGTTTCTTTAGATGCATCTTGGTTGTCTAGTCCGCACAAATTCACTGTAGTCATGGGCTTACCATGGTAAAAACCATTTGCATTTTCTTGATAGTAGATTTGAAGTTACAGTGGTAAGTCACATGACTACAGCAACTAGACAAAAACGATGCAACGAAAAAAAAAACAAGTTTTGCGTTCAGTAGTTTGCCATTGCACCCTGAATGGTCAGCTCTCGGTAGCACTGTCGAAACCAACACAAGACAAATCATTCGCAGCTTGGATCGAACCCGGCACCCCGACATCATGAAGCGCGTTCGCAACACCTAAGCCACAGATGCCGACTTACAAACAGGAATACAGAAAAAATTTATTTAACTGAGGTTCGCCTTCTGGGTTTCGGAGCCACATTGTGAGGGTAAAAAAAGAATAGAAATGCTGCCTCCCTAACAAGCATGTCATAAAAGTCGACTAAGAGTTTTCTTTAAAATTGGAGTACCTCTGCCTGAGAGGCAAGGAACCAACAGTCTGCATACAGATAAGCCATATCTGTTAAACGCATGTGCACACAAAACTCCAGTTCTGGGACAAGGCTGAAATTCAGAAGTAGATGAACAGCCAGAAATTTCTGCTGGATGGATGAACACAAAGAAGAAGAATTTATCTGAGGTCTCTTCGCGAAAAAATCTCCATGATTTTCTGGTCCAGTTGAAGCTCTGGGACACGTGTGAATACAGGATTTCTTGAATGTTGCAGCTCAGGTTTGATACAGGATGGGGTGACCAATCTTACGCTAAACCTCTTTAGATGCCTCTTATGACATGTATGATATGTTTGGTACTGTTCTTTGCTTCCCTTATGGGCTGCAGTAATAATAGGAGTTTATATGCTATTGCTGCTGCTTATATCACTGCTGCTGCTACTACCAGTTCCTACTGTGCCACTGCTACTGTTACTGCTGCTGCTACTACCAGTTCCTACTGTGCCACTGCTACTGTTACTGCTGCTGCTACTACCAGTTCCTACTGTGCCACTGCTACTGTTACTGCTGCTGCTACTACCAGTTCCTACTGTGCCACTGCTACTGTTACTGCTGCTGCTACTACCAGTTCCTACTGTACCACTGCTACTGTTACTGCTGCTGCTACTACCAGTTCCTACTGTGCCACTGCTACTGTTACTGCTGCTGCTACTACCAGTTCCTACTGTGCCACTGCTACTGTTACTGCTGCTGCTACTACCAGTTCCTACTGTGCCACTGCTACTGTTACTGCTGCTGCTACTACCAGTTCCTACTGTGCCACTGCTACTGTTACTGCTGCTGCTACTACCAGTTCCTACTGTGCCACTGCTACTGTTACTGCTGCTGCTACTACCAGTTCCTACTGTGCCACTGCTACTGTTACTGCTGCTGCTACTACCAGTTCCTACTGTGCCACTGCTACTGTTACTGCTGCTGCTACTACCAGTTCCTACTGTGCCACTGCTACTGTTAATGCTGCTGCTACTACCAGTTCCTACTGTGCCACTGCTACTGTTACTGCTGCTGCTACTACCAGTTCCTACTGTGCCACTGCTACTGTTACTGCTGCTGCTACTACCAGTTCCTACTGTGCCACTGCTACTGTTACTGCTGCTACTACCAGTTCCTACTGTGCCACTGCTACTGTTACTGCTGCTACTACCAGTTCCTACTGTGCCACTGCTACTGTTACTGCTGCTACTACTATTATTGCTGCTGCTGCTACTGATACTGCTGCTACTACAATTACTAATACTACTGTTACTGCTGCTGCTACTATGACTGTTAATGCTGCTGCTCTACTGTTGCTGCTGTTACTACTATTGCTGCTGCTAATACTACTATTACAACTATTTCTTCTCTTTTTTATTCTCTTTATTTTTCTTCTTTTTCTTTAGCTAAATCTCCATCTCTTCCTTCTTCTCCTCCTTCTCTTCCTATTGCTGACTGTCATCTTCATGTAACTTTATTATTTCAGATATCAAAATGGTCATCAAAGAGGAACACCTACGGCTGGATACGGGCTGAGATTCTTGGTGCCTTAGTCAATGCTGTCTTCCTACTGGCACTCTGCTTCTCCATTTTGGTGGAAGCTCTGAAGCGTCTGGTGGACATGGAGAGGGTGGAGAACCCCAGGCTCTTGCTGATTGTTGGCGGAGCAGGTCTGGTTATAAACATAATTGGACTGGTGCTGTTTGGAGGTATGCAGATGAGTTGTTTGCAGTTGTGGCAGCTGTATGTCTCATCTCATCTTCTCTAAACTCCTCATCTCATTATCATCTTCTTTATCTTCATTTCTTCTTTTACTGCTGCAGGTTTTGAAGGAGATACAAGGATCTGCTTCCTGCTCTTCTGGCCATCTAGACCAGAGGCACATTGTGCTGTTGTTGAGTTTCTTCTTCTTCCTGTTCACCAGCTGTAAACTTTGGCTGAAAGTTCTGGTTGTTCGTCCACCACTGGATACTTGACTTGTTCCAGAGCCTGAGTGTTGCGTTCACATCCATTTTATAGATCTGGCTTATTTGTATGCAGTCTATTGGTTCCCTGCCTGTAAGGAAGATGCACTCCATGAACTTGCCTGATAGGCAAGGAACCAACAGTCTGCATAAAAATGAGTCAGATCTTTGAAACGGATGTGCATGCAACTATAAGTTCTGGAATAGGACTAGTCCACAAATGGACGAACAGCCAGAACTTTGCACCAGAGAAACAGTTGGTGAATGCAAGAAAAAAAAAAAGGAACACAGATCGCTGCCTTCCAGAAAGATCTCAGTCTTGTGTTAAATCCTCTGCTTAATTCCCTGCTATGTGCATATTTTTTCTCTAAGTGTTTATCTATTTCGGTACAGAGGGGAGTTAAATTAGTTTTAGATCAGCTCATGGTGCTTACTTATATTCTTAAGAGTCTTAATGCGTGCATCTGTCTTTGTGCTGGTTAAATTTTATGCATACCAAAAATGGCCAGATTTAATATAATTGTTCCCTACCCAAAAAAAAAAAAAAAATAGCTGGATTTTATTAAATTCTTTTCATACTAAACTGGCAGGATTGACTGGCTGACGTTGTACTCCACCAGGCCATCACACTGTGCCACTGTTCAGATGAGTATTACCCATGGTGAGGTCCCAGAAGCCCCGTTTAGCCATTAGGTTAACCAAGGTGGGGCTTCAAAATAACAAAAAATGTGTCCCACACGGTGGCGGGGATTAGGACAATTAAATAGCAGGGTTTCATTAAATTTTTTTCTTTACCAAAATAAAAATAGCTGAATTTTATTTAACTTTTCATTTTTTTCCCACACTGAAACATGAATTTTTAATACATCAAATGCTCAGCTTTTCTATACAACATCGAGACATTAAAGTGCACTGAATGTTTAATTTCCCTGCACTGTAATAACAAGATTAAAGTAATGTACTTGTTATCAGAATTATTCAGGTCACCTTGATAGGTAGTTAACTTCTCTTGGAGAATGACATAATGTTATCTTGACCTGTTTCTGATAATATGATTTGTGTCCTAGTATTTTGGCTGGAATTAGTGACAGGAGAATTTTATACCTGTTGTTTATTCAAAGAGGAGCGGCAAAGTGCCAGGTTCGCATTCTTGGAAAGGTGATGGATGTTCTCTGTCAGTGGTTAAAAACAGTGAAATCCTAACAGGCACAGTTCATGTGAGCTGCAGTACATCATCCATGCACCTCTACATTATCAAGCTGAAGACTCCATTGTTCACCATGTGCATCATCCATGCACCTCTTCATTATCAAGCTGAAGACTCCATTGTTCCCCCTGTGCATCATCCATGCACCTCTACATTATCAAGCTGAAGACTCCACCCTCCCCGTGTGCATCATCCATGCACCTCTACATTATCAAGCTGAAGACTCCACCTTCCCCATGTGCATCATCCATGCATCTCTACATTATCAAACTGAAGACTTCCCTATTTCTCCGCGTGCATCATCCAAGCACCTCTACATTATCAAGCTGAGGACTTCCCTTATTCCCCATGTGCATCATGCATGCACCTCTACATTATCAAGCTGAAGACTCCCTTATTCCCCATGTGCATCATCCATGCACCTCTTCATTATCAAGCTGAAGACTCCATTGTTCCCCCTGTGCATCATCCATGCACCTCTACATTATCAAGCTGAAGACTCCACCCTCCCCGTGTGCACCATCCATGCACCTCTACATTATCAAGCTGAAGACTCCACCTTCCCCATGTGCATCATCCATGCATCTCTACATTATCAAACTGAAGACTTCCCTATTTCCCTGTGTGCATCATCCATGCACCTCTACATTATCAAGCTGAAGACTCCACCTTCCCCATGTGCATCATCCATGCATCTCTACATTATCAAACTGAAGACTTCCCTATTTCCCCGCGTGCATCATCCATGCACCTCTACATTATCAAGCTGAAGACTCCTTTATTCCCCATGTGCATCATCCATGCACCTCTACATTATCAAGCTGAAGACTTCCCTATTTCCCCGCGTGCATCATCCATGCACCTCTACATTATCAGGCTGAAGAATCCCCTATTCCCCATGTGCATTCCTGGAGGCCAATGAAAAGCTAAGCACTGCCTTATAAACTGTAGTACATATAGTAAGACAGTTTTTAAAAGTATGCTTGCACACACAAAAAGTCATGTACAAAGGGGAAGATAAAAAAATGTTATAATTAACCTTTAATTATTTTACCTGTAATCACTTCACATGGTGCCAGTAAAGAGGGGCAGATAAGCATGAAGATGATCCTAAGTGACACCTTTTTAAGTAGGAGGGTGCATGAGACAGGGGATCTGTCAAAAGGTCATGGTTTTGTTAAAGGCAGGCTGTGATGAGTTCTGCAAAGGACCTGGTACATGATAATGTGGGGCCCCTGTGTTGGACAACTCTAGAGATACACAAACCCTCTTTGCAAGTAGACTGGGAGCTTGCAAAAACTATGAAATCAACCCCCAAAAAAAAGGCTTGTGTAAATCAGCCTGAATTGAGCCACAAGCTTAATGGAACAGTGCAATTAAACTTGCTTTGTGATCACTGTGAATACATGTCCCGCTTCTCTTATTTGATTTCCTTTTTCTGCTTTTTTCTCTGGCTGTTTCCATATCTTGCTGTTGCAGAGTTTCTCTGATGTCATCTTTTTTGCCTTGTTCTTGGTCTACCCTCTGCTTCTCTGTGTCCTTCTCTTCTTTGAAGGTATGCATTGTATGGTGTGGCTTCACAACGCATTCTCTCTTAGCAAATGACAGGAATGTTAAATGTGAATGTTGAATAAAGAATCGACATCACAGCACTCGGGACACCCACATTATCGCTCCATCCCCATCTTCAGCAGCAAGCGAAGAGTTAAAATTCTGATGGTACGAGTAACTGTCTGATTGTATATCCGTCTTGCCTTTCCCCTGAGTGTTGAGCGTCTGCCAGATCCCCTTGTAACTCCTCACAGCGCCATTCTCCTCAAACCGTAATGATCTAGCTGTGCCTTGGCACTGCTCACTGGCTCCCTAAAGACCCTCACAACATCCAGCTTGTCATACATCAGTTCACTACCAAGTGGTGCCGAACCGGCCAGTCTGTCTGCCTGCTCATTTCCCAATACACCGGCATTACCTGGAGAAAATATCTAAAGGATGCTAACTACTGGGACCTTTGAAGTAATGATTGCCATGGAGCATGCCTGTCTCCACCTTTCTCAACATGCTCTGTGAGTCAGTTACAATGACGGCATATGACAGGAGAAAACCTGCTGGTGTTAGATAGCTGTAGAGAACTGCAGGAAAGATTGAACTGTTCACAAGAATAAAGGTTTGCATAAAACATATTTAGAGACAGAATAATGCTATCCCATATCACTAAATATTCCCAGAAATAGATTTTATATCGTGATCATCAGTTATTTAAAAAGCGGACTTAAAATATATTAAACTTAACCTTTTAAGTGCGCAACAATGCACACAGGTGTCCTGTCTTACTACCCAGAGACCAGGGGAAATTACTAGAACACCATGTGAAAAAAATCCCAGCCTCCATTGGGGTTTGAACCCGGGACATCCAGCACTCGAGGCGGATCCCATACCTCTAGGCCACTCAGCCTCCTAATGTGGCAAAACTATAACCTTATGTAAAAAAAAATTATTTTGTAACTTTTCATGACTTTTTTTTTTAAAACAAAAAAAAAACACAAACAACAGATTGCATAGTTTCAGTATTGACAAATGTCACTGTATCTTGTCAGGTGCGTACTAAATCTAAATATATCCTCATGTGGTTCTGAGATCGGGGGGGGGGGGGGGGGGGGGAATAATGCATACACACATCATGTGTACACAATCTTACACACTCAACCACACACACACACACACGTATACATACTCTTACATTCTCATACATGCACACTCATATACAGACATATGTAAGACATACATACACGCATCTACATACATACACAAACATAAAACACACATATATACCCGGGGGAGGTGGGGAATAATTAGGGGTGTTACCATCAAAGTAAAATGATTTTCTCTGAGAGGTGAGAAACCAGCAGTCTGCATACAAATACGGTAGATCTGTAAAACAGATTACACCAAAAACTCGTCAAGTTCTAGAACAAGACCAAAGTCCAGAAGTGGATGAACAACCAGAACTTTCCACTGGAGTTTACAGCCGGTGAACGCTAAGAAGAAGAATTTAGAAAAACGCAGGTAATCATTCATGCAGTCTGTTGTTTGTGTCTTCGTTGTTCAGATTTACAAAGGGGAAATGTTGCTTTAATGTATTTATGTTATTTTTAAAGTTTTACATTTCACATTTTCTTACCAGTCATTTCTTCTTGTCTTCACCTAGGTCATGGTCATTCTCATGGCGGTCATGGCCATGCCCATGGAGGTCAGGGTCACGCCCATGGAGGTCATGGCCACTCCCATGATGGACACAAACCTGCAAATTCTCCTGATGAGGTGTTCTTGGACATTAGAAATGGAAGTGTGATCAAAGCAACTGAAAACGAGGCGCTAGTACCGTCAGAGCGGGTGTCGTCGGCAACCCCAGCGGATGAGAAAGAGATCTTTATGTCCCAAAATACCGATGTCACAATTGAGTTCAAAAAGCCGAAAATAGGTAACTGCTGATGTTCTTTATAATAACAATTTTTTGCATACTGTTTCCAGTGAGTTACTGATTGGTATATTAGAATCATTGTTCTTCTTCTTTTGCCATCTCACAGATACCAGGTTGAAGCCCAGTATCCTGGATTTTGTGTATTTGTATTGCACTTAATCTTTTTACAGGTTTCTGCTACACCATTTATCCATCTCTTCCTTGGTCTTTCCTTCTGCCTTCCTCTCAGATGTTCTGCTGTAAACAGTTCTGTCCTATCATTCAATATTCTTTCTTGAAATCCTTATCACAATCAAAGTCCCATAACACAGTGTGTTTTGGTATCACCAGTTGCTCTTAAATGTATGGTAGGCTCTCTCTCTCTCTACCTCTGATACAACAGACTTGATGTTTATATGCTCTCAGCCAGACTGTACAGGTTTCCCAGTCACCAGTTAAAACTGGCTCTATATAGCATGCAAGAATTTTTTTCCTTACCCCCATGACGCAGATGCGCTGCATAAGATGTTCATTTAGAAAAATGCAGATTTTAATTGTCTTGTTCTGTTCTTGATTGTTGAAATACATCTTCCATCTGATGTTATCCATGTGCTTGTGATCCTCATCTGAATGGTGGCACTTTGTGTCACCGGGTGTTTATCGCTCAGTGTGATGTCCTGGTGGAGTAATAATCAATCTATGTGCCTAAATACTTAAATGTCTGTACTTGTATCAAGATAATACCACTGAAGTTGTTACTGGAAAGGCCAGGATTCTTTAATATGCTTTGATTAAACTAGAAAAAAAAAATGTTGGCCAGTGTATAATTCAAAGGTGAGGATTAATTATGAGGAGTGCGACACACATGTTGTTTTGGACTTCAGGAGCTAACTGTTTCAGTAACAGAAGACTTTGTTTTAAATCTTAAGGAGAAAGTAAACACAGTGAAAAGAGTATGAGTTTTGTACTTTCAAAGTGACAACTTATAATACTATTTAGTATGTTAGCATGACAAGCCAGATTTCTTTAGCATGCTCAAACGAAATGCAGAATATATAATTACACACTGTTCGTTGTTTGATACACACTGATTATAGCTGATCACACACTGTATGTTATTTGGGACAGAAGTTCTTCTTCTTCTTCACATTCACCAGCTGTAAACTCCTGCAAAAAATTCTGGTTGTTCACCCACTTCTGGATTTTAGTCTTTTTCCAGATCCTTAGTTTTAACTGCATATCCGTTATACAGATCTGGCTTATTTGTATGCAGACTGTTTGTTCCTTGCCTCTTAGGCGAAGGCACTCCAACTTTTAAGGAAACAACCCGAACTAATTGACTCTTACAACATGCTTGTTAATGTGAAGTAAGTCTTCAACCTCCCCCCCCCCCCCTCCCAAACTCCAAATGTGGTCCCGAAACCTGCATAGGGAAATGTAACATTCAAAATTTCAACTGATTGAATGAATCGTCATGTGTTTGCCTGGGACTTCAAGAGTTAAAAGAGTTGAGATATTATGTTTGTCTTCCAAAAAGCTTCATCACAGCAGCTAAACATGAGGGGCGTCTTCCTGCACGTCCTGGGGGATGCTCTCGGCTCTCTAGTGGTGGTCATCTCAGCCCTGGTGATCATGTTCGCTGATGGTGACTGGAGGTTTTACATTGATCCTGCTATGAGGTATTGTTTGCTTCCCATTCTTAACCTTCTTCTTCTCTTTTCTTCTTTGATTCAGTAAAGAGTGTTTTTGTTGTTGTTATAAATGTCTCCTTCCTCTCCTTATCTTTTTTCTTCTGTTCTTTCTTATCTTCTCTTCGATCTTACAATTCACAAAAATAGGGTGCAGATAATGAGGAAGACCAAAGAGCAGATGGACCACCAATATCAGTAATAACAATAACCAGTTCAGCAAATCTGCTACTAGAACAAATGACATACCTTATGCTGCACTTTCTTCACAACTTCTTGTTGCATAGTCATTTAAAAAAAAAAAGAAATTCGAAAAAAGAAAAAACATTTCTGTGCTCATCCAAAGTCGTAAATGTGTTGTGCCCATTGACAGCATGGCTGCAATATTTGTGCCTATCGGTCGACGCATGTGACTTCTGCAGTCTAAGATCTGTAAGGACTGGGAGATAGTCCACATCTTACATCCATATGTTGCTACAGGGAAGGTGCATGCTCTAAAAGTTTTAATTTTGATTTATTTCGGACCAGCCAGCATAAAATAAAACAGATTGTCTGCTGGTTAGACAGTAGATAGTGTGTGAACTGTTGGATTTTGTCACGGACAGCTTCAGACATAAGGCCATACACCTGAAACGGGAATTCCTGTTTTTGTGAGCCTGGCGTGGCCGGTCGGTGGTAACAGTTGTTATCGAGTAGATTTATACACAAATTGAACTACAGTTTAATTAATTTGCAACATGTGTTATTGAATGAATTATTATTTTGAAGATAAATAAATGGGCTATTATAAAATACTTATTATATTCTAAATTTGTCACATTCGTGATTATATTCTAATCTGTCACATTCATTATTATATACTAAATGTATCACATTCATTATCATATTTTAAATTTGTCACATTCTTTATTATATTCTAAATTTGTTACATTTTGTTTCTTACTCTAGTAAGATTTTTTTGATGGTTTTCTTACAGTGTCTTCATGGTGATAATCATTCTTAGCACTACAATACCTCTATGTAAGTATTGATTGCCACCTTTAGTAAACCTTGTCTTCTTCTTCTTCTTCTTCGCACTCACCAGTTGTAAACTTCGGTGAAGAGTTCTTCTGGTTCTTCGTCTATTTCTAGACTTTAATCTTGTTCCAGAACTGAAGTTTGTATGCACATCTGTTTTACAGATCCAGCTTATTTTATGCAGACTGTTGGTTCCTTGCCTGAGAGACAAGGAGCCAACAGTCTGCATACAAATAACTCAGATCTGTAAAATAGACAGACAGGATTAATAGCTCTAGAGAACTTAAAGGAAGGGTTAAACAATACATTTCTCGTGTGTGTTCCAGGGACCTGTTATAGGGAAAACAAGAATAGACCCACTGCCTGCCCAAAAGCATGTTGTAAGAGTCGACCAATTGGGAGCTTCCTTCGAAGTCAGAGTGCATCTGACTGAGAGGCAAGGAACCAACAGTCTGTATACAAATTAGTCAGATCTGTAAAACCGATGCACATGCAACAATCAGGTTCTGGAACAGGACTACAGTCCGGAAGTGAATGAACAACCAGAGTTTACAGCTGGTGAATGTGAAGAAAAAGAAGAAGAAACAATACATCACAAGTACACAGGTGTGCCTATGAATTAATGTATATTAAGACAAAATGATGGTATCCCAGATCACTGGAAATATTCCCAAACGTAGAATACACAATATGATTATTACAATTATTTCGAAAAGAAACTCAAAACATAATAATATGTTTGCCTACTTCTGCGAGCGCATGCGTACTAGTTAGTTAAACTCAGCAGTATATACTCCTAAAGTCTGTTAAACTTAACAAATAATATATGCAAGATTAAATAACTAGAAGTAATTGACAGACATAAATATTCAGTATCAATCAAGAAAATCTGTCTATGTCAACTAGGGTGGTGGGGATGTGCTTAGCTCCCTTGCAAACTTTCTGGTTGGGGAAGGGGGGGGGGGGTTGTGTTGCCTCAGGCTCCTTAAATTTCAGGCCCCTCTTCCCACCCCACCAGGTAGTACCAAGTTGCAGCTCTGGATTCACTGTTGGATTGTGTTAGGCCAGCCTAAAATTGTGTCAAGAATTGTTATGCAAGCCATCAGGATATTGACGGCATCATCCATTGAAAGCTGATTGGTCTGTACAAATTTGTGGCTAGAACCATAATTACCTTCTTCCTTGACATTCACTCTTAGAAGGCCAGTTGGCAGGTTGTGTTGTAGTTTACAGTTAGGCTGTGATATCTGCGTCTTTTGGCTCTACAATCTGATTTCTGCCAGCTGTTTATTAATTGCCTGCAAAGACATGCTTGTTTGGTGCCAGCGGGTGTATTCATCGTGATCAGGGGGAATGAAGCATTCCATTCTTTTTTCCTGTTTTGTAGAAATTCAAACAGTTAATTCTATATTCTGAACAAGTGTTTTCATGAGTTGGGGGTTGATCCTTACCCACCCAAGAGCTTAGGTAAAACCAGGCTGGTATAGCTGTACACTTGCCCTGATTGAAACCTCAGGGAAGGTTGAAAGGGTATCTGGGATCAGCTAGGTTCTGCCACCAGGATTGAGATTTTAACATCTCAGGATTGTATTGTTGTACCATGCCAAACATGGCCCCTACTACAACTAATGAGCGAAAGATCGTAACAACATAGATGAGATGTCTTGGGAGAGCTGCCGGTATGACAAGAAGAGATAAAATCAAGAATTAAGAAATTTTAGAAAACTAGGACTTAAACCAGTCATACAATTTATTAAAGAACAAGTGAGATGGTTTGGCCACCTGATGAGAATGCCTTGGTACCAACTGAGAGCCACACTAAAGAAATATAATAAACACAGAGCAAATGGGAAGACCACACAAGAGATGGAGCAACATCAGCAGGAGCAACCAAATAGAAATGAACACCAGCTTGTACAATGCATTGGAAAAAGCTCACAAACGATCATCACATCTTCCCTAACACCTCGCTGACCTAAATGGTGGAAGAGAAGAAGAAGAAGAAGAAGGATGGTATTGTAAACCTTTAGGTAGCAGCCTGGAGGAGACACACTAATCAATTGATTGATGAGTTAGAGTTGGATGCCCTACCTCTCAGCCACTTAGCCCTGCAGCACATATTGATATGTCTGATGCTACTTTCATGTTTGTTCTTTCAGTGAAGGAGTCTGCTCTTATCCTGCTGCAGACTGTCCCATCTCATGTGGATGTGGAGAACATTATTAAAGAGCTGGAACAAGTGAGTCATGTTCATTGCTGAATAATTTAGTTCTCATTTGTGCCACTGGCACCATTAGTATCGAAATTCTTCGCTGGCTGCTGAAGATGGGAACGGAGCGCTTATGGGAATGCCCCGAGTACTGTGATGTCAGTTCTTGAATCAAATCAAATCAAATAGACTTCATTAAGGAAAATCAGAAACAGATTAAAAAACAAACACAGGTTGTAACCATGAAAAAGATTTCCTCAGTCATTACCATCATTAAGTGCCTTACCAACTTGTGTGGGTGATCATGCCTCTCCACAATCTGCAGTCAGCAATTATGTTTATTACTTTGTGTGTTGACACCCCTCCATGCCATGACAAGGCTATCGAGAATCTTCACACGCTGTCTTCCTCTGTCTGTCTTTCCACAAATCTTTCCAGTTGGTACAACATATTCCGTTTTCCCTCTTCTCATAATATGACACACAAAAAAAGATGACTGTCTCATTCTGATGTTTGTGATAAGTTGTCTTCGAGCAATTGCCTCTTTCAAAACATCTGTTACTCTTCTTAGCTATCCAAGGAATTCTAAGGATTCTTCTGTAAAACCACATCTTCCTGAATCACCTGAAGAGAACAGACCAGGTCACAATTTGTCGCTCATACACTGGACAATGCATATAAACAAAATAAACAAACACTCATATAAATTATATATTAGCCAAACAGCGCTCTGTCAGTGTCTTCTTGCTGAACAGACTTCAGAGCATGTCTTATAAGACTATGGCCTAGCTGCGAAGCAAAATGTGGTAACTAGACCTGATAATTAAGCTTTGCGGAAACCTGACAGAACTTGAGATGACATCCCAGTTTATGGCTCACAGTGGGTTAAGCGCATGACCAGAGATTGGCGAAGAAGCAGACTATAAATAGAGCTGTAGATGAAGATATAGATATGTTGGCACCTTTTCATCTTTCCGGAGGATAGTGTTATATTGAACTGTAGGCAGGCGTGGAAATCACAGCCCATGGCCCAATTAAGGTCAGCAAGGAAGTTCTTCCTCAACAAAGCACAGAGGCTGGGCACCATTGAAAATACCATGTGTTGCCCATGAAAAATTAACCCCGATATTATGTTTAGCTAGTGAAAGTTGTGTCATTATATATGCAGCATGGGGCCACGAGTGGGGGGGGGGGGGGGGGGCATTAATTCTGTTTCAGACTTGGAAGGATGCTCTAGTGACCATAAATTGATAAGTTAATGAGGATCAGTATTTATCTTGTGCATGAAGTGGTATTCATGATTCAGAACTAGTGTAGAAAAATATTGAAGAAAAAGCTGGGCCAGGATGTCCAATTTATGTTCATAATGATAAACTTATTGCCAGAGTCAGAGAGTGGATGTGCGAAGACGAATGTCTGACTGTGAGCATATACCATAGAGGAATATTGTGTTGACTCTGATAAACATTGGTCTACAGTTACTTATCTCATCAATCGGGAAGGCTAACCCAGTCAACAAATGCCAGCAGAAGTAGGATGTGTTGGCCAAATGGTGCAGATATCCCAGCCATGCTGTAAACAGGCACAGTGCACTTACATCTACGGATGAATGCAGAAAAAAGAAGAAGACTTATCTCCTCAGTTCAACTGTTTCAGGGGCACTTTTCCTAGCTTGAAACAGAATTAGTGTTGGCCACAGACATATGGGCATAAATTTAACTAACAAAACAAAATGGTGCGTAACTTGTCAGCTGACTGGACACCATTGCAGTTTTGCTGGATCACACATGAGTTGTACCTGTTTTGCTTCATGGATAGAGTTTTGTGTTCTGGCCATAAATCATTCGGGAGCCTCTGTGGCGTAGTGGGTAAACTCTCTCCTGCTGATCCAAAAGTCATGGGTTCAAATCTGAACGGAGCCAGATTTGTTCAAAAAATGACTTTGGCACCCAGGCTGACCGAGCCTTAAATGGGAACCAGGTACAAACTCTGAGATGTAAAGTGTGATATTCACCACATCACCCAGTGCCGATTGATTTATAAAGTATAGATGTAGCACTGAATGCCCTGTACACCTGAAGGCGTGTCATTCTCATTATTTTATTGTTGGGCTGCGTAAACTCAACAGGGAAGAACAAAATGTATGCGTAATGACATTTTGGTCGATAAGCTGAATTGCTATTTTCTGTTCTCACACATGCATACAAACATGCAGACACACTGTATGAGTAGTTAGTTAGTCTTTCCTCTTATGCCTAAAGCGGCACATAGGGCAGAGGTCATAGCTCTCCATTCCTATCGGTTCGTTGCCACCTGCTTTATGTCTTCGATGTTGTTTAGGCCCATGGTTGAGCTTTTCCAGATGATGGTTCTATGCAGTCTCTCTCTTGGTCTTTCCCGTTTTCTTTTCACTTCCGGTGTCCATATAAGGTCTTGATGGGGAAGTCTTGCCTCATCCATTCTGAGTGCATTGCGGATGTAGGAATGAGTAGAGTGAGAGAAAATGAGTGAGTTGTGTGTGTTAGAGAGAGAGAGAGAGAAAAGAGGGAGGGAGTTGAGAGAGTAAGTGAATGAATTGAGAGAGACAGAAAGTTCATTGAGAGAAAGAAAGAGTAAAGGGAGTCACAGAGTTTGTTGATTGATTAAAATAGTTGAGATTCAAGAGAGAGAGAGAGAAACTGAACTTAGAAGGAGAATACAAATAAGAAACAGTGTGGGTTGAGAGAGAGAGAGTTTGGTTTGTTAAATCGTATTAATTTATTTTCATTGGGCAGCCTGCTTTATATTGCAGCCTGATTTGTTCCAAACAGCTGGTGTTACTTTTCCTTTAGGGTAAACAAGGCAGGCCAAGAGAGGGATCATGATGCATGGGCAACATATGGTGGTCTCTACAATACTGCCTAGGCTTTGTGCTGTGGAGAGGATGAACTTAATCCCTGATTGTGCCCGGCTCTCTAGCGTAGTTGGCTAAACCTGACTGCACGGTGACCGGGCGATGAACTTTTTGTGGTCCGGGTTCACTCCCGGGGGTAGGCAGAAAAGCCACATTTCTCCCAGATTTACGGTACCTATCATGGAATCAAGGCCGAAGCGTTGTGATATCCATAGTACAGAGCCAAAGGGTTAAGAACTCATGGTTTCTGGATATGAAAAAAGAAAAAATCCCTGATCGTAATTGCACGGGCGGGTCTTGCTAGTCACACTTGCCATCGCCATGGGCTGCGAGTCCCATGGCTCCTAATAGTGCAATATAACATTATTGTCTGAAAAGACAGAAATGTGCCAGTCAGTCACCACTCATTTAGATATGGGAATTGACTGAGTGAACAATGACAGTTTAATTACCATTCTGTAACTTTTAGTAAATTTGATTTGTTAAACTTTTTCATCCAGATGGAAGGTATATATGGTGTACACGAATGCCATATATGGCAGCTGGCAGGAAACAGAATCATAGCTTCCGCACACATTCGCTGCCATGGGATAGAGGAGTACATGACCCTGGCTGCAAAAATTAAATCCCTCTTCCACAAAGCGGGAATACATTCCACAACTATTCAGCCAGAGTTCATTGACGTAAGTGACGAGGTCAAGTCAATTCTAAGATATAACTGTATTTTATTAGCATTCATTAACAGCTATTGCACCTTACTTTTTCTCGAAAAATATTAATGCAATTTATATTAAACTAATTCACAATAGCCAGTGGCAGCCAACGGCAGCCAACGTGCACTGGATCACAAATTATTCCTCCCCACGACGCTTAACGGCAGAAGTGGTTTATGATGATGATGATGATTCAAAATATAACTCGTGATGTTATCTACACATCCTAATCTTCTGTAGTATCTCCATCCACTACTGTGGCTCTGTAGCAGCGTTAAAAAAAGGGCATACGTGCCTTGCCTCTATCAGGTTTTTCATGTTCACATACTCATTTCTTCACAACTTGAATAACATTCCCAGTTCTGTCGCTCCACTTTCTGAAGCCTCAACTCTCTAAACCCAGTGACGAACAGTGCTGTTATCAACTACACGAACAACTGTTATACACAGCATACAAATGTTTATGAATGTGCACCACAGTTTATTTTTCTGCAACCATAAATTTTATGACAGTTTACTGTTTGTAATGCATGTTGCCCACACCCTCTTTTTTGTGATTCTACCCCCCCCCCCCTTCCTCCTGGATTGCAGTCTGTAGAAATGTTATCTTAATTAAGAATCTCTGTTTAAATCGACTAGTGCAGCGGTTTTTGTCAGTGTGTGTTGCCAGTTTGTACCCACAGTATTGACATTTCAGATTTGAAGCATGAAGATTTCATATTTCTGTATCATTGACAGCTGAGAACAAATGAGGGGCATTATTTTCTGAAAGTCCCTTTTAGAATTGAAACTATTTATCTGCTAGATGTTGTATATCATTAATACAGAAACAGCTAAATTTTTCTGCTAGATGTTGTATATCATTAATACAGAAACAGCTAAATTTATCTGCTAGATGTATATCATTAATACAGAAACAGCTAAATTTTTCTGCTAGATGTTGTATATCATTAATACAGAAACAGCTAAATTATTTTTCTTTTTCTCTTACTCCTCCTTCCTCTTCCCTTACTTCTACTTCTGCTACCTCTTCTTGTGCTACTTCAGCTGCCTCCCCTTGTGCTACTTCTGCTACATCCCCTTGTGCTACTTCAGCTGCCTCCCCTTGCACTACTTCTGCTGCCTCCCCTTGCGCTACTTCAGCTGCCTCCCCTTGCGCTACTTCAGCTGCCTCCCCTTGCGCTACTTCAGCTGCCTCCCATTGCGCTACTTCAGATGCCTCCCCTTGCGCTAATTCAGCTGCCTCCCCTTGCGCTACTTCAGCTGCCTCCCCTTGCGCTACTTCAGCTGCCTCCCCTTGCACTACTTCAGCTGCCTCCCCTTGCACTACTTCAGCTGCCTCCCATTGCGCTACTTCAGCTGCCTCCCCTTGTGCTACTTCAGCTACCTCCCCTTGCGCTACTTCAGCTGACTCCCCTTAGGCTACTTCTGCTGCCTCCCCTTGGGCTACTTCTGCTGTCTCCCCTTGCGCTACTTCAACTGCCTCCCCTTGCACTACTTCAGCTGCCTCCCCTTGTGCTACTTCAGCTGCCTCCCCTTGCACTACTTCAGCTGCCTCTCCTTGCACTACTTCAGCTGCCTCTCCTTGCACTACTTCAGCTGCCTTCCCTTGCACTACTTCAGCTGCCTTCCCTTGTGCTACTTCTGCCTTATTCTGCTTCTGTTTCTTCTTTTTAGAACATCATTGCATTGTTCATCTTTATCATTTTTTTGTGTGTCCTTCTCTTTTTTTTTCTGGTCTGAGACAAATGTGTCACAGATATTGATGTGTTTGTGCCAGTAAATGCTTTGTTTCCCTCAGCAAATATTTAAGTTGCTGGATATTCACTGACTGTCTCACACTTGTTGGGTTCAATCTGACAAATATGCAGTCAACATGTTGCACTAGTTCTAGTGATAGTAGTATTCCTTTAAACAACAATAGGCTATTTAACCCGTCTCTTCTATAATTTGGGATGATTGGACAAACAAAAAAAGTAATGAAGACGTCTTGAAAGAAACTGACCCACGAAGAGAACTGACTGCCCACATCAGAAAGAGACAATTTACATTCTTTGTGATAAGATGAGAAAACTGCAGTCACTTCTACTAGTACCATCAGACTTGGAACTCTGCCCTGATTGCTGAAGATGGGATCAGAAAGCCTATGGGATTGTCCCAAATGCTGTGATGTCGTTCTGTACTCAACTGAACTCCTCTAAAATGTAATCAAGGTTTGCAAGTCTTCAGAGGGAACAGCAACTGTCTTGTTTCCTTCTCATGCTGGATGTTATCACTGCAAAAGCTCGCTGTATTGTCATACATTCTACCCTGCACTCTGACTGCTAAATCCCTTACTGAATATTTCCGAAGTGCCTCCTTCTTCTGAATTCACCCTTTGAAGGGCGACTGGCACACTATGTTGTGGTTTACAGCTAGGCTGTGATATCTGCTCCTTTTGGCCTAGCACATCTGATTGCAGCAAATCCCTAATTAAACACCTTTTACATGCATGTTGGAGGTTAGTGGATCCCCCCCCCCCCCCCTCTATCCCTCCGTGGGGCCTTTTCGCTCAGTGAGGGTAAACTGATTCCAGCCAATAATTGAACTGTTAGTTAATGTTTGGTCCGAACTGTTAGTTAATCTCTGGTTCTTAATTCATTTCTATTCTACTCTTTTTTTTTCCAGTGGCAGGATGCAAATTCCGAGCATCAACCTTGTGCCTTGCCCTGTAACGCGACAGGAGAACAATGTAAGGAAGAGACGTGCTGCGGAGACAAGCGCAAACGTTTGTACGGAAGCAAACCGAATGAAACTGGTGTCGACCTGAATGATATGACCCCGCAGCCTGGCAACACAGGCAGTGTGGTCACGTACACATCAGCTCAGCCTTGTACATTCTCCAGTCTTCGAAGTCTGGATCTGAAGTTCAGCCCCGACGGGGATGAAGTGGTCCTGGAGATGTTGGATATCAAGAAAGCTGTCATTGATAATCAAGGAGCTAGTAAAAATATTTCACAGTCGCCTCCGCCAGGACATAGTTTGAAGGAGGAAAGGACAATGTCTCGTTGAGTGGAGCTGGGTGTGTTTTTGTTTTTAACTGTTTCAGTCTTCTACCATGGTGTGTAGAGGAAAAGGAAGTCATGTACATTCGGAAGAGCTGTGTGTTCACTGAAGATTTAATAAAAAATAAAAAAATACTAATAACAATGTCAGGAACAAAAAAAATTTCATGACAAGCACAACAAATGTAAGTTAGTGAAAAGCTATGTGTGTGTGTGGACCTGCTCTGAATGATTGTGAATGCTCTTCTTCTTCTTAGGCCTTCAACCAGAATTCACTGATTTTCTACCGTTTGCATCTCCTGCACCTCTCTTTCTGTCCTCATTCAACTCTATTTCTGATGCTCTTCTGCAAGGCTGCAAGGACTATTGGTCTTATCATTGTTTTATATATTGTGATCTTTGTGTTAAGAAGATGGACCATTTTATTTTATCAGATGTTGCAGGGCATAGTGTCCATTTTTTCCAGATTGCATTTCTTCTGTTAGTATGATAGGAGCAGTTAGAGTTTGTACTCAAGTACTTGTATGTTTCCGTTCTTTTCATTTTTATATTATCTGTTTGTATGTGTCCAGAGTTTTTATCCTTTCTTGTTATTACCATATTCTATTTCTTATCTTGATTGATTGTTGCTGTTGCTATCGACCCAGCGGCACATGAGCTTTTGCCCTTTGGCCCAATGCCATATAGTGGAATTAACATGTTTTCAGAAGCTGTTCTTTTCCTCCATAGAAGGTGTTCCAATTGTTTGATCTTGAGTTTCAGACACTAAAAGAGATAATGGTCAACAGTTTCTTAGAGGTAGTTACATAGCTGGCACTCCAGGGAGTGTTGTGGCTGTATTCTGTTTAAGATGCCCATTAAGTTAAATCTTGATTGATAACTAATCCTATTTTCTGAGTGGCTTCGTTCAAGTGAGTCTGTGTTTTCACTGTGTCTAGTTCATTTTCTCCTACTGTATCTATGACCATCTTGTTTGTGTGGTGTAAATATTCATATGTGGTCTATTGTTTTTGTATTCTTTAATTTATCAGTTGTTGCACAGGGAAATAACAACCTTGTATCTCCTTCTTCTTCTTCTAAAGTTCTTTAGTCCTGTTCTATCTTTCAGCATGAGGTTTTGAAGAGGCATCAGGTGGAAGCCTAGGTATGTGCCTACATGCTAGTATTTACAGCCTCAGCTATTCTATCTGTCCATCTGTTGTATGTTAGACCGAGAGTTTTGCTTCCATTCATTATGTCTGTGACGGGGCTTTCAGTGGTGCTCAACACACAGGGGAAGATCAAAACGGATATACAATCAAACAGTTTCTGGTGCCCTAGAATTTGGAATGCTTCGCTTGCTGCTGAAGATGGGGGGACGGAGCACTTATGAGAGTGCCCCGAGTGCTATGATGTCGATTTCCTATTCAACATTCGGCGGTGTAACTGTCTGGTGGTAGTCTTGATGCATGTCTAAATCATTTGATCTGTTGTCCCTTGATGTAGTTTAATTCTGGTTCCATTCCAACTTCTTTCCTGATAGCGTCATTTCTGATCCTGCACCATCTTGTATGATTGACATAAGTATACATATGCAGGCTACCCCCGTGTGGGTTCTGGGGGCCCCATTGTGGGGAAAATAAGAATAGACCCACTGCCTCCCCAAAAGCATGTCGTAAGAGTCAACTAATTGGGGAGCTTACTTTGAAGTCGGAGTGCATCTGCCGGAGAGGCAAGGAACCAACAGTCTGTATTCAAGAGAATGAGATCTGTAAAACTGATGCACACGCAACACTTAGCTTCTGGAGCAGGACTGCAGTTCAGTAGTGGACGAGCAACCAGAACCTTCCGCCAGAGTTTACAGCTGGTGAACGCAAAGAAGAAGGAGAAGATATGCAGGCTGGTATTGTTGTTGTTCTGTCTGCATGCAGGTGGAGAAGGAAATGAGACTAATGGGAAGAATGTGCTTACACTGTTGATTTGCTCGATAAAAAAAAAGGTGAAGATCCCTTTTCACGCCTTAGGCGCATCGGGCAAATGGGAAGAGCGTCCCATATTTTTACAGACCAATCGGCACTGGATGGGTAATGTGGTCAGCATTACGCCGTCCGCCTTTGCTTCCCCTTTACTGGATATGCCAAAGTATAACTAAGTCTTAATCAAAGTTGATTACATTTTTTTTAAATACAGAATTATTTATTTTCAGCTTGAATATTGTTTGTTAGGAAGTCTTTCATCATTGATTAGGACATCTTTCATCATTGATAGGACATCTTTCATCATTGTTAGGACATCTTTCATCATTAGCAGGACATTTTTCTTTACTGATGGGACATTCTTCTTCATTGGCAGGACATTCTTCTTCATTGACTGGACATAGTTCTACATTGACTGGACATCTTTCAAAATTTAACAGGACATATTTCATTATTGATATAACATGTTTCAATATGGATAGGACATGTTTCATTATTGATAGGACATGTTTCATTATGGATAGGACATGTTTCATTATGGATAGGACATGTTTCATTATTGATAGGACATGTTTCATTATGGATAGGACATGTTTCATTATGGATAGGACATGTTTCATTATTGATAGGACATGTTTCATTATTGATAGGACATGTTTCATTATTGACAGGACATGTTTCATTATTGACAGGACGTGTTTCATTATTGACAGGACGTGTTTCATTATTGACAGGACATGTTTCATTATTGACAGAATATGTTTCATCATTGACAGGACATGTTTTTTTTTCAAATGATAGAACATCTGTCATCATTGACAGGACATGTTTCATTATTGATAGGACACATTTTATCATTGACTAGACATTTTTTCAATTGTTCATAGTACATTTATATTTGTTCACAGGACATCTATATTTGTTCACAGGACATCCTTCATCATCGACAGACTATCCTTCCACATTGTTAACATTGACATAATCTGATCACTCCAGAACAGTCCATATATTCCATGCTGTCAGTAACTAAGTTTATGTTATTTTAATTATTACATATTTGAAGTGCTTACATTTAACTTTTGATACAGTTTAAACAGATTGTAATTTGTTTCTGTTCTGATACTGACTTAAGTATATATATATTTTGTTGTATAACTATTTATTGCCACTTGTACCGTTGGATTTGGGAGAAATATAAGGTTTGGTTAGTATATTAAAAAAAAAAGTTAGTTATGTGTCTTTTGCAGGACCTTGCATAACCAACCCCAGCATTTTTTGGCTGTTTGTGATTTCACTAGGCAGTTTTACATTCAGCAGTCTGCCATTGCTTCCTGATCAGTCAGCTCTCGATACCACTGGCATTTATCCAGCATAATTACACACAAGAGGTGTTTTTAAATGGAGGGGTGCATTGAGTAGGATCATAGTTTATCTTAGGACAATGAAATGCAATCTGAAAATGTTATGTTACAGCAGGGCAGACCAGGCCATTAGCCTTGGCTAGCAACTGGTCTAGGAGAGGAGCTATGATAGACAGACAGATAGAGCACTGTTCTCTGAACCAGCAGCTTCTGTAGCATGTTTTTCACCCAAAATGAATTAATGTTACCTTTTGTTTGGAGTAAACAAGGCAGGCCAAGAAGGTATTGTGTTGCCTGGCTTCTGCAATACTGCAGAGGCTTTGTGCTAGGGAGATGGATTGTGGTATTGACTCTGGAGAGAAAACACAAACCTCACCGTTAGACACAGGTCCTTTTCAGGGCTGTGGCCAATTGAGTGAACACCAAGGCATGAAGACTGAAACACTTGCAGTCTTCCAGAGTGTTTTAAACCTACCACCAACCATCAGTAACACCGATGTCTTTTTTTCCCTGTGAACTTTATTGCAATATATATATATATTAGGACTTATGACTTAGTTGACATTGTATTTTGTTTATTTAAATGCACTGTAGTATAAAGTCTGTGTGAAAGTAAAGTCAGACCCCCAAAAAATGAAAGAATTCATCCTTGGCACATTCCCTGTATTGGTTCTGGGCCCAGAGAGAGGTTAGCAACATATTTCAAAGACAAATATTCACTTTAGAAGAAAAAAATTGTGTGCATGCATTTACAAAAACGACTACGAAATGATGGGACCAGTGTAATCATTTTTTTCCTTTATGTGTTATTAGTATTTAGTTTTTGTCCACTGTAATTTTTTTAAAAACAGAAATAATGCCAGGTTGGAACTTTACAGCAGTTGAAAAACAGGACACATTTGACCATATTGGTTAATAGCTCTAACAACTTGACGTGTGTTTATAAGAGTTGCCTAGCAAGTTGTGCTTTTTTCCTTGTACCCCATCCAGCTGTAGCTTTAACCCATCCTGACCTAGATATTACTTCATCTCCTCATGTCCCCCGGAGAGTCATTATTTGAACCCGTCAGGCACTTATCATTTAAAGCACCAACCGCCTGGGATATGAAGGAATGAGGAAACGCACGTCTGAAACTTAAAGAGTTATCACATTTTCTTAAAAGAATTTTTTTTTCTTCTTCTTCTTCTTTGCGTTCACCAGCTGTACACTCTGGCGGAAAGTTCTGGTTGCTCGCCCACTACTGAACTGCAGTCCTGCTCCAGAACCTGAGTGTTGCGTGTGCATCAGTTTTACAAATCTAATTCTCTTGAATACAGACTGTTGGTTCCTTGACCCTCCGGCAGATGCACTCTGACTTCAAAGGAAGCTCCCCAATTAGTCGACTCTTACGACATGCTTTTGGGGAAGGCAGTGGGTCTATTCTTGTTTTCCCCACAATGGGGCCCCGGAATCCACACAGGGGCTTTTTTTTATATTTTATATACAGATTGTTTGACACAGACTGTAGGTAGTATCACGTTGGCCACCTTTACTTCCCAGGAATTTTTTTAAAACACACTTTAGGCTCTGCCAATATGGAAGCCCTGAGTCAGTTATAAAACTGCACATCATCAATGATATTAAAAGGATTGCACAGGGTGGTTTTGGAATAAAGAACTGCAAGGCATCGCATAAGTGTCTGTACATAGGA